TTTTTTTTTTTTTTTTTTTGGATGTCTCGCAACAAAAATATTTGCTGAGAAACAGAATGCAACATGACTTTGCTTTAATACGCAACAGGGAATTTGCAGAAGAGTAACAATTCATTCCTCTAATGTTTTCCGTGGCTGCTATCTCCTGCTCGGAGACACGGCAGGTCGTTCGCGGCCGCGAGCGCGTCTGCCCTGCCGCTTCAGTTAGATAGTGTATCACACGGCTGGAGCTCAGAAATTGGAATTGGAACAAAAATACAATGCATGCCTTTCAAAGGAAATAAGAAACGAGTCGCCCTTTTCCTATCTAGTGCATGAACGTAAATCACCTCTCGCCGTTTACGACGGAGCTCGTGAGATGTGTATCGGGAGTGCGGCCTTGTAGCTAAGAAGAGAGTGTTCTTCTGTAGCCCCAAGTTGTCCGTAGCACCCCAGCGTCAGTGGGGACCCTAAAAATAAAGTATTCCTTTGTAGGCAAATTCATTACCAGTAGCTGATAGCTCAAGACGGCATTACTTACGGGAGTTAATAAAACCACATTTTTCTGAAGGGAAAAAAAAAGTTCTCTTCCAAACCAACCCGTTGCTGGCACGTTAACAACCAACTAATAGTATGAAATATCTACGTCCTCTTAGGTCTTCAGAACTGTCGCCTTTTGATTGCATTGTGGAATTTTTAAAAAATGCCTTCTTCTATTTGAAAGAAAATAGTCGTTCACTTGCTAAGTGAAATGTGTTTGAACATACAGAATTTGCCGGCTTTCCCACCGATAGGAGGCTACGAATTTAAAAAACAAATATTGGGTTTCAAATAATATGCTTGTGTTTTATGTGCAAAACATTCTATTTTATCTTAGGTATTGTTTTCCAAGTTCCTATTTTTTGGGGGGGGTGGAGGAGAGTGCTGTTCTAAGTCATTCATTTCTGGCCCCATAAGTTGAAATTGTTACTATTGTTTTCAAAGTATCCATTTCTAACACACTATGTTCTCTCTGCATCTCTTTCCCCAAGGAAACTGTTTCAGCGTCTTCCTAGTATCATGTCTTTTTTTTTTGCCTTCAGGAGAAAGTGTTATATCTAGTTTCCTCCACTATTAATTAAGAGTAAAACACTGATCCCTGAGACTCCTTTCTTATTTTCCCACATGTAATAATTTTCTGAGTAATGAATTTCAAATTCCACACTGTCTCCACTATTCCAAGCAGGCTCATAATTAATGTAAATCAAAACATGTTTTCATAATGTTCTCATGTGAATATATTTGGAAACCTATTAGCCTGACTCAAGTTTTGGCCTATCTACTTAATCTCGACCTTTGCAATTTGCTTTAAGCAGACGATTTTCATTTATGCCTTTCCTAGTCTTACCCGAGTTATGAGATACATTTAATGGGGCAAATATATGTGTTATTAAATAGCGGCACAGGAACCTTCATTATTTCACAGGATTAAAAACAAGGGACGGTGGGAGATGGGTTTCAGGTCCATAGGTGAGAAGACTCACTATTGTTAAATGTCAGCTCTTCCCACTTTGACCTCTACGTGCGACAGAAAGTCTTCTTATAGATACTAACAAACTATTTCTAAAGTTTATCTGAAAAGGAAAAAGACACAGAAGAGCCAACGTAACGCTGAAGAAAAGAACGGAGTTGGAGGACTCACACTATTAGACTTCAAGACACAGTGTGAGGCCACAGTAATCACCGACAGGCACTGTCATGAGTAGAGAGCAATAGACACTTAGGTCAGTGGAACAGAGGACGGAGCCCAGAAATAAAGCCACCGAAACACAACCAGTTGATCTTTGATGAAAGCAATTTGATGGAGAAGGGATAATAATTCTCCTTTGTTGACAGATGGACAAATCGGCGCTGGATGCTCAGGTGCTAAACAGTTTCACATACACACAGACTATATGCCTGTCATAAAAATTAACTCGGAATAGGCCCCGGACCTAAATGTTCAATGAAAACCTGTCAGTTACCTAGAAGGAAAAAACGAGATTAAAATCTGCGTCCTTGGATTTGGAGAGGAGTTTTTACATAGAACACCAAAAGCATGATCCACACAAAAAACATTCAGACAGACTTCATTAAAATTTTAAAAATGTGCTTTTCAAAAGATACTGTTACGAGAAGTGAAAGACAAAGAACAGACCGGGGCAAAGTATTTGCAAGAAGACATATAAAGTACTTGTATCCAAGATAAACAAAGAACCTGTAAAACTCAGGAACAAAATATCAAGGAACCCAATTAATAAATGGACAGAATATCTGAACAGACATTTCATCAAAGAAGATATAAAGATGACAATTAAGTATGTGTGGGAAAATATTCCTCATTTCATTAAGTGAACGCACATTTTAACAACTACGAGATGCCACGACATGCCTATCAGAATAGCTAACATCCTTTCTTTGTCTTTCTTTTTATTAATCCTGAAGGTAATATAAGAGGAGCAAACCTCATAAAAACCCCAAAACAGCCCTGGCCGGGTGGCTCAGGTGTGGGACGACCTCCTGTTCCCCAAAAGGTTGTGGGTTCGATCCCCGGTCGGGGCACGTATGAGAGACGACGGATTGAGGTTTCTCTCTCACATCGATATTTCTCTTTCCCTTCCTCTCTCTCTAAAAATAAAAATAAAAAATCAATAAACATATCGTAGAGTGAGAATTAAACCCCTCCACAGCAATAAAAATCACATCAATATTACTGTACGTGAGAGATACAGATATGATGAAACAAGGTGGTACTGAGCTCATATTGTTTCTTTAAATGACCCGTTTTATTTGCTTTTATATTTGCCCTTTTATTAAGCTATGTGCACTTTGAGGAACATGAAAAACTCTATTTCCCATACTTGACTTTTGCAAGGCCCCTCACAGAAGATAACCTCTGTTTTACTTTAGTTGCTGCTGCGAGAATTGCTTCAGCGCGCCGTTCGTGATGTTTTGTGTGTGTTTTTGCGCAGCTCTGCATCACAGGGTGAGTCCGTTCTAACATCTGACAACGGATCAATTTTTATTTGCCAAAGAGCCTAATAAAACCATCCCTTTAGAGCGTCATGGGCGGATGAACCGTGATTGCAAGTTCATGCGTAACTCTGATATTTATCTGAGGGACACGTGTGGTTCGTAAAAAGGGCTTTGCAAACTCAACGGCAGGCGTAACGAGTCACAGAATTATGAAGCAAAGGGTTGCGGGCAGAAGTCAGACCTACAAGGTGCTCCAGCTCAACGGCTCTTAAAACGTTTCTGAGTAACAGCCTCCTACGGGAACCTGCTTAAAAAATGTATTTTCTCTCTCTCTCAGAAAACCGCCGGGACCCACGCATTTTTGTATCCGGTTCTAGCACGTTTGGAGCACACGCCTGAAGTTCCATCCGTGGGCCCCGGGGTGTAGAAAGGGGGGCTGTGGTCCAAGCTCCTCACGTTACAGACGGAGGCCCCTCGGACCTCACCGGTGAAATGACTTAGACAGCGAGGGACACGTGGGACACCGTGAAGAGCGTCAACCGGAAAGGACTCACAGTAACCGAGCCCGCCGTGCACCCCGAGGCTTGATCCGCATAATCAAGCGCACCGCGTTGGATTGGTGCGGGTTTCATTGCCCGTGGTGACTGCGCAGGCCCTGGGTCCTCGCCGAGGCTGAGCAGCGCCTCGTACGGAGCAAGTGCTCTGCAAGCCTCTCTTGCGTTGAAGCCAATGGACCTGCTTTGAGGGCTGCTGGGAAAGTGGCACAGCCCACTTAGGGGTGCTAGAGGCCCCGAGAAACGGGGCGCTTCGAGGTTCGATTGTAACGCAAAGACAGGTACGCAGGTGTCACCTGACTGTGGAAACTACCTTCCACCCACCCGCTTTCACTTCCCTGCGGGGATGTGTAGATTCACAGCGTCGGCAGGACTGCAGAAGTCCCGGGATCCAAATTCACGCCCCACGTCTCTGAGAAACGCTGCACCCCCCGAACCCCTTCGGCAACGCAGGGGCTAAGTCCTGGGCCGTGACTCACCCTCCGAGTGGTTAGAAAGCCCCTCCTTACGTTATGACAAGTTTCATCCGCACTGCGAACTTCACTTATCTAAAGTCTTCCATTTGGACTAATACACAGGAATTATCCCCCCCCCACACACACACTCTTAGAGAGAACTATGGTGCTACGCTGTTGCTCACCGGCCAAACTGACAGCCAGTCGAAACGATTCAAAACGATTTCACCCTCTCCAACCCCCCAGCGCCCCCCTGCTCTCCTCACGGCTGTCCTTTCCCGTCACGATCCGACCTTGGGTTCCCGCTCTCCTCGGTCCTGTAGTCTCCCTTCTGTTCCTTTCTCACCCCCTTACTCTTATCGACTCTTTGCCCTCCGCCTCATCAATGCTCCTTCATTCTTTGCTATATTAAAAAAAGAAAAAGGAAAAAAAAAGAAGTGGCCGGCGGCCCTGAATGAACACGTACAGGATCACCAATACCAGTCCCGATGTCAAAATTCCCGCTCCCGGAGCCGGGATTACAAACGAGGCCCCGCTCCTCGGGAGGAAGGCCCTGCGCGGGTGCTCGGGCCGGTGGGGTGGCAGGAGGGCTCCCAGGCGGCGCGGGAGGGAGACGGGAAGGAAGCCCGGGAGGGGAGACCGGCCACGTCCGTTCCTTGAGCAGGACACCGCCGGGGCCCCGAGCACTTGGGAGCTCAAGCCCTCTGAGCGTCGCTGGGAGGCAGCATCCGGGCCAAGGAGCAGAGGGGCCGGGACATGCACCCGCCGATGGCTCGGGCTGTGCCCGGCGATAGGGCTCCCAGGCCTGCCGCGTGTGCTCTGCGGGGCCAGGCCCCTCGCCCAGAACGGCCGCCCGAGAGAGCCGCAGGCGCTTCCCGCTGGACCCCACGGGGACGGCACGCGGTGGCCAGATACGAACGAAACAGGGAAACGCCTCACCGAGTGTCCTTTCCCTGCTGTTGCACTTGCTTCACAAGGAGATTTCAATACCTCGTTTCCACTGTTCCACTTGGCCGACGGGTCGGAAGGTCCAGGAGTTCGTACGCACTCACCTCGGTGAACCCTGTGGTTCCGAAGAAGGTCCAAAGGCAAAGGCCCTCCGCCTCTTTAGGGGCAAAGTCGTCAAACTCAGAAGGGAAATTTCCAGTTTCATCCCGGCCCGGACGCCGCGTGCTCATGGGTTTAGCCTTTCAGTTTAACTTCGGTTCATCGTAGTGGAATCCGGTACAATTTACTGAACTCCATGGCAGCCCCTCCCTTCTTATCTTTTAGGATATTGTAATAGCAAACTTTAAAAAAAAAAAAAAAATTGCCAGCCCAACGGAGACCAAGGAAGGCAGGCGGAAAACACCTGCTGTTGCTGAGCAGATGCCCAGCTCCTGTCGGTTCCCTGCCATGGCCCAAACACACCCTCCATGCCAAGCTGCCAAGACTGGAGTTCTCCAACGTGCGAAAGGAAAACGGTCCTAGTTCCCCGTCACTTTGCTCTTGGGAAGTCCTAATGTTGTTTCCTTTTATGATATATATTCGTATAACCTGTGAAATATGGACACAGGCAGCCAGCTTAGTGAGTTGTGCAGAAGGACGGATAGAAAATTTAAAAGCAAGCATGCAGTTTTTTAATTTATTTGTATAGTAATAGCCACAGTTCACCGTTTTCTGTGCCACGACCCAACCAAATTTCAATTTCCCTGGGTCGCCCAAGTGGGTGGCATTTTAGAACTTCGGAATAGTTGTAGTGAAAGGCAACGGAGCTGGCTCGCTCCTCCCGTGTGACCGTCCATGATTACAGACCACACTGGCTGCATTGTCTTTTTTTTTTGTCTTTATAGACACACAGAGAAACAGACCGCAAGCTCAACACTCAGCAAGTCTACCTTCACGTCTTCCCCGCAGGTCCTTCAATCAGCCAGATGACTGTAATATCACAGGGCAAATCCCCAGACACGCCCGCCCCCCGGCACCCCGGCACCCCATCGCCTCTTCACACCTGGGGAGCCAATCACGTCCCGTTTTCTTTACTTTTCCTGGTGTCTCTGGCTTTACTGGTACTATTCAAGCCTCCCAGGTGGAATTTTTTTCACTAAGTTTCCCCCTCAACTTGGACGATGCACCGAGAGTGGCAGTAAAATTCATATTTCACTCATATTTATATGCATTCCCTTAACGTCTTAAGACGCACATAAACGCAGCTTACGGAAAGTCTATGAACTACAACTGAATCAGTTATTAGTTCGATTTACTGTTCCTACATCATGACTATTTAAACGTATTTTAAGAGGAACTCTAAGTAATTAGCAGAAAATGGAAAGTTAACTGTAGTAAAAACAGAGGAATTGTAGTGATATATTGCTTCAAAATTAAACGGGATTTACAGGTTATTCTAATGAAAGTTGAAAAATAAATTTAAGTATATCAGAAGGAGGTTAGCAACTGAGATACAAGTGGTATCCTTGATGATCACAGGACAAAGGGTCTACTTGGAGAATGCGTTCCCAAAGCGGACAGCCGATGATAAGAAAGAAATGAATTAGTTCCTTCTTGGCTGCCAATGATTTTAGGGAGAGCTCCACCTTCCCTATGTTTCCTGGAAAACATAGTTTAGAATAATTTGATAAAAAATAATTCAATAGAAAAATGTAAGAGGTCAACTGAAAGGAGCCATAAAGGTCATCGAACCTATATTCTTTAATTTGGAATCGATCCCACATGGGCCCATCGAGTAGGCACGAGCCGCTGTTACTACCAGGCTCTTGCAGCGGAGCTGGTTCCAACTGAGACAGGCTGCAAGAGTAAAATACACCCTGAAACTGGAAGAATTCATTTATTAAAAGCCAAATATCCCACTAATAATTATTGTACTGATTGCATGCCCCAATGATAATATTTTGGATACACTGGATTAAGTAAAGTGTATTCATAAAATTAATTTCATCTCTTTAAAAGCATTTTTTTAAGTGTGGTTGCTAGAAAATTTACACTCACACACACGACTGGTGTTGTATTTCTATTGGACTGTTGGATTTTACTGTCGTCAAAAGTTACAGTGTGAGCCAAGGGAACGTGTCCTGAAGCCCTGATGGCAATTTCCTTAAAGTTCTGAAATAATCAAAGGAGGAAATCAGGGAACTGTTGGCCAAAATATGAATAATTCTGATGGGATGTGTGTCCGAGGCCTTCTGTGCCAGAGTCTTCCCGTGGCCACCGTGATGGTGTCTGTTCATGAAAAAACCTTCCAGGGATGACTGAAGAAAGTGTAGACGAATGAGCCTCATTGGGAAAGTGAAGACTTTAATACCCGGTGGCTGCAACCAAGAAAATATATCTGCAATGGCCTGACACTTCTCAGAGAACTGTTTGAGAAAAAAGTATTATAGAGAAAGAAAAACTAGATTGAAGCCAATTAGCCTGCCTACAAGCCTCTTGATAAATTGTCAGCAAACTATGTTTTCTTGGTAGTGAGTGGAAAGGCCAAAAAACCACGGAGAACTACTAGTTTCCATGCAGGAAAAAAAGATTTTGCAGCAAACAAACAAACAAAAGACAGATGCCCAGAAAAAAACATTGTCCCCAGGTGTTAGGGATGGATGCTAATCTCATGAAGCAACATTGGACAGTATCATTTAGCATTTTTGGAAATAAACTCAAGAAGGGACATCATAAAAAATACCTATGAGTTTTATACAATATTAAGTTTGTCGTTAAGATTAGGAAAGGCTAAAGTAACGGAGAAGTAGCTTAAGTATTTGTCTGTGTGGGGGGCGGGGGACAGACGGGATGCCAGTGGTGTGATTATTAAGATGAGGGAGTCAGGGGCCCCCATGGCTCAACTGGTTGGCGCCTCAGCCCAGGTGCTGAAGGGTCTTGGGTTTGGTGCCCAGGCAGGGCACAGACCCAGGCTGTGGGCTCAGTCCCCAGCTGGTGAGGGTTCAAAAAAAAAAAAAAAGACAATGATATAAGTAGTTCCTACCTTAATTTGTCTTAAAGAGTTGACAATCATCCTGCTGTTTAGAAAATCAAAATATCTTAAAATGTTTTTAAAAACTTCTTATCAACCGTCTGTCTCTTGCAGTCTGGCTCTTTGGCTCATGGCCTTAAAAAAATAAGTAACTACGGCACCCCAAGAAAGACCAGAATCCCCGTAAACTCGGCCCAGATTTTCTGAGAATGCCCTTCGTTTCTTTTATGACCTTCAACCATTGGCAGTATCCCTGTTTTTAAATACTTTTTTAAAAAGAAAAAGATATGTTAAACATGCCCCTTTACTTTTTTTGAGGTTTCTCAAAATGTTATTTATCTAAAGAAAGGATATGTAGGAAATTACCTCCTCCCTTTCATTTCGTAGTATCTCTCTGATGTGAAAACTAATTTTGCTGTTAATATCATGTGCACCAAGAGGGATGGTCTATGTCAGCACCTGAAGAACAGTATATCATTTTATACCATAAGAATATAAATCACATATTCAACAGTAATAACTACTTTTATTAAGGGCCCTATCTACTAGGAGCTACTCTAGACTCTTTAAATATATATATATTTAAACTATTATATATATAATGTCTAATTTAATCTTCACAACACATAATAATGAGTCCCATTATTTAACATCAATTGAAAGCTCTAGCAACTAAATATTAGAGAGATTAAGTAACAGCTTGGAACAGGCTGAAAACAAGATATTTCAAAACGAGACTCCTAGAAACTACTATATTGGGGATGAATGGATACTCAGGAGATGCATCCAGTGAACATACTTTTTTTTTTTTTTTTTAAGAATAGTTTATTGATTTTTAGAGAGAGAGGAAGGGAGCTGAGAGAAACATAAATAAACACTGATGTGAAAGCGCAGCATCGATCGATCGGCTGCCTCCCTCACGGCCCTGCTGGGGATGGAGCCCTTAACCCGGGCCTGTGCCCTGGCTGGGAATCGAACCAGCGACCTCTCGGGGCACAGGACGGGCGATGCCCAACCAACGGAGCCACGCAGGCCAGGGCTGACGGCCCTTCTTAAGGAGGTGGTCCCATTCTGACATTTGTGCTCAAAGCTACTCCTCTGTTGAGCTCAAAATAAAGCTTGGGGCTGTCTTCTAGGACAAAAATAAAAACCTCTTATACATATTCAAGGAAATGTTAAATATATAGTTGCCCCCTTTCCTCATTTATGTAGAAGAATCTTTTTTGTGTGTTATGTACATATGAGCAGGGAACAGGGGAGGCGGAACCAACCCTCACATGGAAAGGCCTGAAAGGTGATTTTCCTCCAAAAAAGACTTTCCATTTGGCCTGAGGGCAGAGCAGGTGTGGTTCCAGGCAAGGTGTGCTGGAGGCACAACACACAGGAAAAGCCCCGTGTTTGTGTAAAACATGCTAAGCTTATACCAAGAGCTATAATGATGTATTTCCGTGCACAGTTTTAACAACAGTTCTTTTCACTGAAGGGAGATACAGAATAGAAAACAGAAATTTTTACTATTTCTTTAAAGAGTCTGCCTTAAACATACATAGAAAGATCTTAAATTTTGGCATTATAAGAGTCCCAGTCCAGGATCCATCAACCCCTCGGGCCTTTCAGATATTAGGTCTCACTTACTTTCGCTTAGGAAAGGACAGGACGTTTTAAGAAATATTTAAGAACTATTTTTTTTTCCTTCACAGCATTTCTATAAATAATATAATAAAATATTTTCCCGACTAAGACCTTAGTGGTCTATTAACTTGCAAAGCGAAACACATAAATGGCTTTGCTTATAGATTCACAATATCATTAAAAGTTGTATCGGCCATGCTACTTCCATCTCTGATGCTCTTTTAGGGTGTTTTAAATTCGAGATTCAATTCCTAGGGGTTGGGAATTTCTTATTTTCACTAATATGCTTTCTTCTTAAACCTATAAGAGACGGACTAAATTAATGTGTAAACAGCCTTGGGATGCCCAGGGCTCAAGGCAGCAACATAATTACTCTGGGGTTAGAACATTTTCAGAACATATTCTAATTCAGAAATAGGTTTAAGTGCTAATGGGTTAACATTTCTAAATCTAGAACTACTTGACTTAATACGTTCAGAGACGAGACTGTACGTTGAAAACAGTGTTTTAGGGTCTAGATTTGTACAGATATAAATCAAGATCGTTTTGGAAGAACATACTAATGAAGAGGAAAATGCAATCATGCCT